TGAAAGAATTCTAGTGATTCGGGATGGAGGGAAAGCGCTGAATTCTGCACAGCGTCCTGCTTAGGAGAGGCTGCTGTTCGACGTGTCTGGGGTAGATACTGACTGTGACCCTCCTCAGCAGTCAATAAAAACGACCATAGAAAAAACCAAGGCAATTGAGCATAACCGAACCTGCATATAGATCAAGAGGCAGTCGTTCAAACAGAACAAGGTGATGCTACGTGGTTTAAAATCAGGAAAGGTGTATGCTGAGCAAATATTCTGAGAACATGGACTATATGAAGAAGAACGTAGCATCAGGATTGGAGGAAGGCTCATTAAAAACCTGCCATGTGCAGACGGCACGATTTACTGATGAAGATTAAACATAGACTTCAGTATGGATTACAACTTACTGTAAAGAAAATAAAAATTCTCACAATAAGAATTTTTGTGGACCAATAAGGAACATCACAATAAATGAGGAAAAGATTGAAACTGTCAAGGATTTAATTTTACTTGGATCCACAATCAACACTAATGAAAGCAACAGTCAAGAAATCAAACGATGTGACTGCACTGGGCAAATCTGTTGTAAAAGACCTTTAAAGTTCAAGAGCAAAGATGTCACTCTGAAGACTAAGGTATGCCTGACTCAAGTGATGATGTTTTCAATTGCCCCATATGCATGTGAAAGCTGGACAATGAATAAGGTAGACTGGAGAAGAATTGATGCATTTGAATTAGGGTGTTTGTGGAGAATATTGAAAGTACCATGGACTACCAAGAGAATGAACAAATCCGTCTTGGAAGAAGTACAGCTAGAATGCCTCTTAGAAGCTAGGATGTTGAGACTACATTTCATGTACTTTGGCCATGTTATCAGGAAAGATTAGTCACTGGAAAAGGACATCATGCTTAGTAAAGTACAGGGTCAGCGTAAAAGAGGAAGACCCCCAAGGAGATGGATCGACATTGTGGCTGCAACAATGGACTCAACATACCAACAATTGTGAGGATGGTGCAGGGTGCCTGAGTTGGACATCGGATGCCTATGAGGTGGAGTGGACTCCACAGCACCTAACAACATCTTTAGCATGAGGTTTGTTTGCTGTTTAGCTGAAGAACTCAAACCAAACCCATTGCCGCTGAGTCAATTACAACTCATACTGACCCCGTAGGACAGAGACAAAATGCTCCATAGGGTTTCCAAGGCTGCCATCTTTATGAAGCAAAGTGCACCATCTTATCCCCTACCCCCAATTCAAAAGATTGATGTTTACAATTAGCAGCCAAGTGCTAAACCACAGCACCCCTAGTGCTCCTTACTGTTGAAAAACAGAGATGGAAAGTACAAAATACAGTCCAGAAGGAGCTATTGATTGTGGTCACCAAGTTAGCTCCAATTCATGGTGACCTCATGGACAATAAAACAAAAGGCTGCCTGGTCCTGCGTCATCCTCGTCATCTTGATCCTTGGTATCTTTACTATCACTCGTGTAGTCACTGACTCAATCCATTTCATGGAGGGAGACTCTCAATTTATCAAACACGACGTCACTTTTTTAGCGACTGATCTTCCTGATGATGTATCCAAATAAGCAAGACGATTTGATAATAATGTAGCTTCTAAGCAGCATTCTGGCTGTGCGTCTTCCAAGATGGCTTTGTTTTCACTCATTTGGCGATCCATGATATCGTCAAAGAACTTGTTGTCGTCGTCGTTAGGCGCTCTTGAGTTGATTCCAGCTCATAGCGACCCTATGTGCATGAGAATGAAGATGGTACCATCCAGACCTGTAGCTTCACAATCACTGCTCTGTTTGAATCCATTGTTGCCACCGCTGTATCAATTTATCTTATTGAAGGTCTTCCTTTTTTTCACTGATCCTCTATTTTACCAAGCATGATGTCCTCCTGACAATATGTTCAAAGTCGTTGTGTTTATTGTTAATTGCTGTCGAGTTGGTTCCAACCCATTGCGACCCTGTATAGGGTTTCTGAGGAACAGCTTGTGAGCTTGAACCACCAACTTTGCAGTTCAAACCAACTTTGCAGCCCAGCGCATTAGCCCACAGTGCCACCCCAGGACTCCTATGTCCAAAGTACATGAAATGAAATGTCAGCATCCTGACTTCTAAGGACCACTCCAGCTGTACTTCTTCAAAGACAGATTTGTTTGTTCTTCTGGAAGTCTGTAGTATATTTAATGTGCTTCTCCAACACCATAACTCAAAGGCATCAATTCTTTGATCACCCTTATTCATTGTCCAGCTTTCACATGCATTTGAAGCAGTTGAAAATATCATGTCTTGGATCAGGAGTCCCTTAATCCTCAAGGTGACATCTTTTTTTTAACACTCTACCGAGGTCTTTTGCTCAGATTTGCCCATTGCAATACAGTTGTGGTTGGGTTTTTTTTTTTTTTACTGCTGCTTCCATGAGAGTTGATTATGGATCCAAGTAAAACAAAATCCTTGATAACGTCAATGCTTATCATAATGTTGCTTAATGGTCCTACTTATTGGACTAATAAATCAGGATGGCCAGACTTCGTCTCTCATACTTTGGACATATTATCAGAAGAAACCAGCCCCAACAGAAGGACATCACGTTTGATAAAGTGGAGAAATGGAGAAAAAGAGGAAGACCCTCAATGTGATGGATTGGCACAGTGGCAGCAGTAATGGGCTCAAATGTAGCAATGATTATGAGGTTGGCGCAGGACTAGGCAGAGTATTTCATTCTGTTGTGCAGAGGGTTGCTATGAGTCAGTACCGACTTGATGGCACCTAACAACAATAACAATTGGTCCAATTGTGATAATTTTTATTTCCTTTATGTTGAGGTGTAGTCTTTGATCTTTATCATTAAGTGCTTCAAGTCTTCTTTAATTTCAGCAAGCAAAGTGTGTCATCTTCATATCGCAGGTTGTCAGTGAGTCTTCTGTGAATCCTGATGCTACGTTCTTCATATAATACAGTTTTGTGGATTATTTGCTCAGCATACAGTTTGAATAAGTATGATGAAATAATGCAACTCTGACACACATCTTTCCTAATTAGTATTTAACCTTTTGCTCACGGAGTCCTGGTGGTACTGTTGACTAAGTATTGGACTGCTAACCATAAGGTCAGCAGTTCAAACACAAGAACTGGTCTGCAGGAGAAAGATGAAGCTGTCTGCTCCTATAAAGATTCAGTCTTGGTAACTCCAAGGCTTGTGGACAGTGAGTAGGTTTAATCTCCTTATTCTGTCCTAATGACTGCTTCTTGGTCTATGTACTGGTTCCACATGAGCACTATTAATGTTCTGCAATTCCATTCTTCTCAATGTTATCAATAATTTGTTATGATCCACACAGTCGAACGCCTTTCCATATCTCACAGATCACAGATAAGCATCTTTCTTAAAACTTGAACAGTGAAAACCTTATGAATAACAGTGGGACACCTAAAAAACTAGGCTCTTTCAAACTACTTTATAACCCTAATCAAGGCAACGAGGCACCCCAAACTGTACTTCAAATGTTGTCATAGGGAAACAGGAGTTAGTCATGTTCTAACAGTTGAAATGTATGTTGATGGTCCACTCAGAGAAAAACACCAGACCCTCAAATAAATAAAAGGTTTCAAGCACAAATGTCTGTAATTATGCTTTGAGGTGACGTCTTCTACTTGTCCAAGCATCTCCCAGCTTTGTGTGTTTTTATCAAGAGAAGCCTGTGTGCTGGCCCCATTCCCTCTCCCCTGCTTGTTTCTCTTCCAAAGGAAACTTATAGGCCTTTTCAAGGTCTCCGACGTATAGTTTCCAAGATACAGTCACAAGTTGAGATCTTGATCGTATCTTGGATTGATACCTTCCTCTTTCAGGGCTACATGAACTGTGGGAGGGATCTATAAACAAGATCTATAAACAAGTGAGAGGGGTTCCCATCTTATTACCTGGTCATCAGCATTAGTTAATCTTGCTTCTTGGTTTGATCCCTGGCGTGGAGCTGTAGGATAAACACTGGACTGCTAACAACAAGATCGGCATTTCAAACACACCAGTTGCTCTTGGAACCCCCTATAGGGTCGCTATAACTGGAAACCCACTCGAGGGCACATCACCACCACCACCACCACCACCAGCAGCACTCCTGGAAGCTGGGGTCCAGACACACGGGTGGGGGGAGGTAGGGAGAGCATGACAGACGTTAAGGTTGCAGAATCCTTTACTCCTAGAACCCACTGGAACTTTACTCTTTGAGCCCACTGGAACTTGAGGGTGTACCTCTCTCTTCCCACTTTGTGGGGTGTCTAGCGATTTTACTTTTGCTGAACTTGAGGGTGAGAAAGTTCCCCCAAAGTTGGGAAGCTGAGGGCTGGAAGAGCACTCTGTAGATGTTCGGGGTAACGCTGAGCAAACTCCAGACAAGGGCCGCTGGAGGCGGCTCCGTTCGTGGTAATTTGAGCCGGTGGTAAACAGGCTTTGGGGTGGGCGTGGGCGATGCTTTCTGCGGGTCCGCGCCGCCCTCGACCTCCCTGTAGGTCCTGCTCCAGCTCCCTCAGGGTCCTTGGGCATCTTTTTCCTGCTGGCCCTGCCCACGAAAAGACCCCGCCCCTAAATCCCGGCCCCGCCCCCGACCGCGAGTCCCCAGCCGGCGTCCTCGCGCGCCAGGCTCCGCCGCGACTCCCCGCGCGAGGCACACGCCAGCGGCCACTGCTGCATAGCTCCTCTCATTGGCTGGCCAGGCGCGGTCGCTCCCGCCCCACCGTGCCATTGGTTGGAGCCGACGCTGTACCCCGCGCGCGAGCCGCCTCTGACATCACGCGGCTTGAGGCGGCGGCGGCGCCCCCGGCCCAGCCTGCAGCCCCCCTCGGCAGAGGCGCCGCAGTGGTGCCCGCGGAGGATGGTGTGCGGCGCGCCGGGGGTCCCCCGCCGCCAGAGCCGCAGCGCTGCAGCAGAGCCGATCGCGGCCGGCAGCCGAGCCCCGCACGGGGCGCGGGGCGAGCGGCCGCGGTGAAACGGAGGGCGCCACTGCTGCAGTGGCCATGGGGGCCCTGACCAGCCGGCAGCACGCGGGCGTGGAGGAGGTGGACATCCCATCCAATTCCGTGTACCGCTATCCGCCCAAGTCCGGTGAGGGCCAGGGGCGGTGGGCGATGGGCGGGCGCTGAACTATGGAGGAAGTGGGGAGCCGAGCCGGGCCGCTCAGGTGCTGGGGGGCGCGGGATCCGAGAGCGCCCCCAAACCAGCGAGGGTGAGAATGAGGGGCGCCCAGTCCCTCGGGCAGATCCGAGAGGTAGCTTTAGGAGCCTGGAGAGGTCACCGGGGTCACCGAGCCCCCCACCCCCCAGCCCAGGACGTGAGCCGGCTCCATTGTCGTCGTTCCGGGGAGCTGGACACCCTCACAGCCTCGACCATCCCTCCTCCCGAGCTGCCGGCTGAGCTGGGGCGGGACCCGGGCCAGGTGCTGTCCTTGGTCCGCGGTATCTGGGCCTGCGGAAAGGGGACAAATTCAAATTGGACATCTCTTGGGAAAGCTTCAGTGGCCTGCTGGAAGATGGAGGACGAAAATGCGTTTTTGTAGCACTGTAGCTGAGAAAGAGAGAAAGTGTCTCACAGAAACCCAAGTACTAGAGTCACTCCGATGGCCCCTTTGCCTGAGTTAGGGACCAGCCTGGGTGTTTGGGATGGGGCTACCTGGACAGGGCAGAGTTATTTTAAATGTATAGAACGTGCATTGTGTGTGTTTTCAGAATCTTTAGTTCCATTAGAAAGAGAAATGTTTCCAGCCTCAACGTGGTTGCACAGCGTAGCGGGTGGAGGAGGATTTTGACAGCTCACACTCACTGCTGAACTGCTGCTAGCCCTTGGCCTGGCTGCTTGTTCTTTGTCATCAAATAGGATGTTCCTGGGGTGATGAATGTCACCTCTGTGGTATAGGACCTGCCAGCGATTTGGGTGATCTTGCAGGGAGGTGTCAGTATTGGAGCAGGGTGGTTTTCCTTTGGTTGAATGAAGACAGACTAATGAGATAATCGCATCTCAGCAGTGTGTCCTTTCTCTGCCAGGTAAAAGCAGGGGCCAGACAATGAACCTGAATCCCCTGCAGGGTGTCTGGCATAGCTGTGCCTCTCCATGCTTTTGTGCCAAAGAATGAATTGTTGCAGAGAGGAACAAAATTAGTCCTATTAAAAGAATGGCCCAAGATAACACTCATATTTTTCATAAACCTTGGGCAAATTGTCTCTGAAGCCAGCATTAAAGGAGGTGTGCCTTTTGGATATATGTTTTTTTTTTTCCTTTTCTGAAATCATTCATACTTTTAATGATCAAAAAAGATGGAGCAGATTTTGCTGAGCTTAGTGTTTTTAGTAGTTTGCTGCCTCCAGAGTAGTTCACATGTGGAAATTAACATAGATAAATCTCTGGAAAGCTCTTCCCCCAAAGGATATTAATAGAACTATGAATGTTGAGTGATGATGATAAAAGGCTAGTATTATGTTAACTAATACTTAATAGTCTCCAACAATTTTTGCCATTCTACCTATACAGGGTCACCATGGGTCGGAACCGACTCCACGGCACTTAACAACAACCAATCTTTAGGAGTCCTGGTGTGACGCTGGACTGTAAAGTTGGTTTTAACTGTAAGGTCAGCGGTTCAAGCTCACCCCTCGTTCCTCGGAAACCCTATCCAGGGCCACTATGAGTCGGAACCAACTCGTCAGCACTTAACAACAACAACCAAATCTTTAAAAGGAGCCCAGGTAGCGTAGTTGGTCTGCTAACCGCAAGGTAACAGTTCTAATTTACCAGCCACTCTGAGGAGAAAGAGGAGGCTTTCCGCTTCTGTAAAGGTTATGTGCTGTGATAGCAAACCCATACAGGGTTTCTGAGGCTGTAAATCTTTATAGGAGCAGAAAGCCTCATCTTTCTTCCACGGAACAGCTGGTAGTTTCGAACTGCTGACCCTAAGGTTCGCAGCCCTATTTGTAACCACTATGCTACCAGAGCTTCTGTAAAGGTTTATAGCCTGGGAAACCCTATAGAGAGTCGCTGTGAGTTGGAACCTGCTCTACAGCACACAGCCACCACTACCAGTCCTTAAAACGGTTTAGCTAATTGGAGTCCTAGTGTGGCACTGGAGGATAAGCATGGCACTGCTAACTGGAAAGCAAAGTCAGGGATTCAGATCCACCAGCTGATCTGTGTGAAAACTGAAGCAAAACTCAGAGGCCTTGTCCCTGCTGAGGACCCTGAGGGGACTAAACTTGAGTAGTCGCCTCCTGTAGTGTAGACAAGCAAGAGCGACCCTAGCCTCCTCTGGGTGACTGGCTGAACCATGTAGCTTGGACTCTCAACTTAGATTGCCCTCTGGCTCATGGTGTTTTTCTTAAATACCATTGGGTCAGTTCTGACTCATAGTGACCCATGTGCAACACAACAAAACAGGACCAGGTCCCACACATAACAAATCAAATGCATCAATTCTAAGGTCTTCCTTATTCACTGTCCAACTTTCACATGTATATGAGACAATTGAAAATACCATGGCTTAGGTCAGGCGCACTTTAGTCCTCAAACTGAAGTCTTTCGCAGGAGATTTGTCTAATGCAATGCATCATATGATTTCTTCACTGCTGTTTCCATGAGTGTTGATTGTGGAACCAAGCAAAATGAAGTCTTTGACAACTTCAGTCATTTCTCCATTTATCGTAAGTTATTTATTGGTACAATTATGAGGATTTTTGTTTACACTGAGGTGCAAGTCATACTGAAGTCTTTGATCTTCATCAGTAAGTATTTTAAGTCCTCTTTGCTTCCAGCAAGCAAGGTTGTATTATATGCATATCACTGGTTATTAATTGTGCCATTTTCCGTCATATAATCCATCTTCTCAGATTATTTGCTCAGCATACAGATTGAGTAAATGTGGTGAAGGAATACAACCCTGGCACATACCTTTCCTGATTTGAACCATTCAGTATCACCTTGTTCTGTTTGAATGACTGGCTGTTGGTATAAGTACAGGTTCCTCATGAGCAAAATTAAGTGTTCTGGAATACCCTTTGCAATGTTATCTATAGCGTATCATGATCCACGTAGTTGAAAGCCTTTGCATAGTCAATAAGGCACAAGTAAATATCTTTCTGGTATTCTCTACTTTCAGATCCATCTGATGTCAGCAAAGATATTCCTAGTTTCACATCCTCTTTTGAGATCTTTTTATACCATCTCCATATCGGAACATTTTATTCTTTTTTTATAAACTGTATGATACTATTCCTTGTGTGCACGTTCCATCATTTGTTAATTGTAGTCTTCAGTTGCTGGAGTCCTGGTATGGCGCTGTAGGATCATCACTGGACTGCTAACCACAAGGTTGATTGTTCAAACCCATCAGCTGCTTGTTGGAAACCCTACACAGGGTCACTATGAATCAGAACTGACTCGCTGTTGATGTACTGTTGGTACAGCCATTTTTGAATTATCTTCAGTAAAATTTTACTTGCATGTGATATTAATGATATTGTTTGATGATTTCCACATTCCATTGTTTCACTTCTTTTTTGGAAGGGACACAAATGTGGATTCCTTCCAATCAGTTGAATAGGTAGCTGTCTTTCAAATGTCTTGGCATAGATGAGTGAGTGCCTCTAGTGCTGAATCAGTTTGTTGAAAGACTTCAATTTGTATTCCATCTATTCCTGGAGCCTTGTTTTTCGCCAGTGCCTTCAGCGTAGGTTGGACTTCTTCCTTCTGTATCATTGGTAGAACTAAAATGGATCAAATGGTTTCGATTTTGATCAAATGATTTTTCTGAATAGGTGATACAATCCACGGTTCATAATTGAAAAGAATGAAAAGGTGTGTTGTGAAAATTGTGTCTCTAACGTCTCTGGTCCATCTGCCCAGTTACCTTTCCTTCTTAGATACCTCTGATCCCTATGTAACCACTTTTATTGGTCCCTGTACAGTTAATTCAGAGTTCCTGGTATAAATGCAGGCATAGCATTTTATTTAGACTGTTCTTTATCTTATTTCCCCACCCCACCCCCACGTTCAGAAATACTGGAGATCTTTTTATACCATCTCCATATCGGAACATTTTATTCTTTTTTTTATAAACTGTATGATACTATTCCTTGTGTGCACGTTCCATCATTTGTTAATTGTAGTCTTCAGTTGCTGGAGTCCTGGTATGGCGCTGTAGGATCTTCACTGGACTGCTAACCACAAGGTTGATTGTTCAGACCCATCAGCTGCTTGTTGGAAACCCTACACAGGGTCACTGTGAATCAGAACTGACTCGCTGGCACGTAACAACCAACTCCTATTGCTAGATGTGTGTTCTTTTCCCAGTCCTTTACTATTACACATAACCAGCAATGAATAATCTTGTACATATGCTCTTCAATGATTTTTAGCTCTGTTAATAAATTCATGAATATTCATTATTTAACAGGAAGAATGGTGGGAGTTAGTTTCTGTATAGTATAGTATTTCTACATTAGTATAGCAAGCAGTGCTACTGTTCTGCTGTACCCTTCTACAGCATTAAGTTGTGTCTTCGTGATGTTTTTGTTAGAGTCCATCCATTATTTTAAAGTCTTCTTCTAGACCTTTGATTCTTTGAAAGCCCATAATCATTTGCTTAGCAAAGGTATGGCTTTGCTGAGTTGTGTATTTTTATGCTTGCATGCCCATCTTTTAACATCGAGTATCCACATCAATAAAAATCATTAGTCCTGTTTCCTCTGTCCAGGAAGAAATGGGCAAGTGATGAAGATAACGTAATTCATTGTTGTTTAGTACCTGATAAAGAGCGTTCATTTCCCTCGACATGTTTGAGCAAATTTGAAAATTGGAATAATTCATTTTGCTCAGATCACAAGAGGTAAACTTGCAACTTTTAAGAGCATTGTAAATATTCAGAATGGGAATCAGCATTCTGAGCAGCTAAAAACGTCATCATTTTCTAAACTTGTGCTATATTGGAGTGTGTGTTATACACACTTGTCCAATGGGTCTGTCCTATGGCCAGAGCAGTTAAAAGCAAGAGTAAGAAGTCTTTGCCTGTCAAATAACTATAAAAGCTCTTCACTATTAGGAACATCAATGTAATATTAATT